AGAAAGATCAGATCTAACACTGACTTCAAATAAGAATTTGTTTATTTATAGTTTGAATTCTTTAAATTTGTGAGTGGGACCTTAAATTTAGTTTATAAATTACTAATTCAATATATCTTAATTTCTATTGATAACACATATGTTAGTTAATTCGACAAATGTGTACTATCATTTTTTTTCATAAGAAAAATTATTAAAAGCCATAACAATATTATATAAATATTTGAAGTAAACATATTATAACTAAAAATACAGCACCATAATTTTGAGGGAACGTTCAAACAAAAAAAAAACTTATGGGTTATGTTCTGAGAATATTCTGCACCCCTGATTGTGGGAACAATAAACAGGCTATAATAGCAACCAAACAAATGCCCACTACCTAAATTGTTTCACGAAACTGGCAATCTAACCACTGTTCCTGGTAACTCTCGTGATAATTTTTACTTTTCAAGAGTGGTTCATATTAATAACAAAAAAACTACATTAATGATATCAGAGCATTAAGAATGCTAAAAAGAATTATTAGAAAAACTTGTTTTGTCTAAAATTCTGAGAAAGATCATCTCCTTATTTGACAATTATTGAAGATCCTTATCATGGTTAATAAAAATGCTATCCATAAATAACAATAGGGAACAAATTGTTTGTCTCATTTATACAAATATTTGATCTTGTCTATTACACTGCTAGAGGCACTTCCCTATTATTACCTGTTCAAAAGCACACAAGGAAACAGGGAAGTGCCCCCCGAGACGTATAAAGAAATTTCCCAGCTTGGGTAAAATGGATTAAAAATCTTATTTTTTTAAAAAGAAACTAATTGGGACTGGGAAACCAATAGCAGATTTGAAATCAACGACGTTAAAAATCCAAGATCCGTTAAAAAATCTTAAACAGAAATTTCTGAGGCCAGTGGGGAATAAACCCAAGCTCCCGGCATTAAACAAAAAATTGTACACCCGTATAGTTTAAAAACAACTTACATATCTATGCAATAACCTTACTAACAACTCCTAAACAAATGTCTAATGAATAATCTGTCTTAACCAAAATACGGTTATCATTAGTCATTTTTTGACATGTTTTGTTTTTTTAAATATTAAAGAAATCTCTTTCAGTACTCCTCATTGTGTCTAATCTGCTTAAAAAAAAAAAAAAAAAGCCGGTTTAAAAAATTTTTTAAGTCCTAATATTTAATAAAAATTCAAAATATATATCATTTATTAATGTGGGGGGATTATTTTTATAATGTATATTGATAAATCCAATTTAAAAAAAATTTTTTTTCCCTGTAAGGCAGTGTTTCCCAAAGTGTGGTACGCGTACCCCCAGGGGTACGGGAACAGTTTAGCGGGGGTACGCGTTCTTATGCGAAATATCTTGCAACAAACAAAAATTTCAAAATTTTTTATTTAAAGACAAAACTAGCCATGAAATTTTACGATAACATATTTTTCTATTGGCTTTTTTCTGCAGAGTTAACAGTTAATAACTAGTGGTGTCAACAGCCAGTAGTGATTTTTAACTTTTGTGCAATTTTTTTTTATAGTAAGAAATGCATTCATTTTTTTATTAGTGGTACACAGCCTTACGAAAAATGTAGAAAGGGTACACAAAAGTCATTAGTTTGGGAAACACTGCTGTAAGGTATACAACATTTGAGCGAAGTCGAATAGTTGATATATTGTATAGTATTTTTTTTTTTTTAAAAAAAATCGCATTTTTAAATATTTATTTCTCAAATACTGTTCGTTCTATTTCGTTAAATTAGTATTTTATCATTTAAAATTGCATAGCTTAAAATGATATAGAAATTTATATACCTTACAGTTCAAAACTATATCAAATACTATTAAACCAAATTAGAAGAAAAAGTTTTATCTTTGGATGAATGAAATTTATAATTTTGTGCAAAAAATTTCTATTTGCATATAAAGTTCCAGAGATGTGGCAAAATTTGAAAAGAATTCAATCACTTACTGATTAAATTATGCCGACTATATTTTCGACCACTTTCTTACCCGTACCCCATCCTCCATTTTGTTAGCCAAGAATCAAAATAGGTTTATTTAGAAAAAATACATTTCAGTTCCAATTCCTTCACTTAATTAAGAGTTAGTGCATATCTAAGGGCAACCTTTTGATTCAGTAAGATAGGTTTTAATGCATAATTTGAACAAAAATTTCTCCCTCAACTTTTCCTTATATCTGGTATTTTTAATTATCGGACAGCCATCTTTCCGATTTAAAGAAGGGTACTTGCATCCTTTCTGTGACATATCTAACCAAAAGTTTAAAATTAAAAATCATAATTTAAAGAAAGCATGTAAACTAAACAAATTTTAGCCTTTTCAAAACGCAGAATTTCAGGAAGAATTTGGAGGTAATTTTAAATGCAACTGATTTAACCTAACACATGATTAACTCAATATATTGTGAACATTTTGTTAAAAGATAGTGGGAAAAAAATATTTTTTTAACCATCAAATTTTCCTTTGCAAATCTTGCTAAGCTTACTCAAGCGCTTAGAAAAGACCAAAATTAGAGAATAGATTTTAATAAATATATAATCTTATATTTTATTATATATAAATAGATATTAAATTTTAACGCAAAATTTTTTTTTAGAATATAACTATAAAATATCTATATTTTTTAATGAAAGAAAACCGAGTTTTCTCATCTGTATTCGTAGGGGTTAGTAATGGGAGGATTTTCCTACCTAAAAGTACAAATCCTCCATATGATATAATTTCAAGTTCATTAAATGTTCAAAAATTAAGTCCTTATGAAAAGTATAGAATGGAATTTACAATTTGTAAAATATCAGTTCATTATAATTAACTTTTCCTATTTTATTCCAACTATTGTAGCTTTTTCTGTATCTACTGAAAATTAAGATTACGTTTTAAGAATTTGAGCAGTTAAATGTATCAATAGAACATTTTTTTTTTTATTTTATTATAATTATGTCTTTCACACCTTTGCACATTTTTAATGTAGCTCCCTCAGATCCCTGCAGTAACTAAATTTTCAAGTTTCATATTAGCTGTAACTGATTATTATTTAAAGGCTTTCATAAAGTAATTATTAAATTTCTCTCTTATTACGTCGATATTTTAAAGATTCATTTTATTCAAGAGAATCCTCCAAAATATAAGTTACTAATTATTAAACCTATGTTTATTATATAAAATTAAATAGAATACTATTTTTCCATCCTTATAACTAATTATTAAACCTCTGTTTATTATATAAAATTAAATAGAATACTATTTTTCCACCCTTATAAATAATTTTCATTAGAATAAAGTTTTTCAATCATTTCCCAAGATGTCGCAAACAATGTTTCATAATTTAATTTTGCTTTAAACTTAGTAAAATATGCTTTAAACTTAGTAGCAAAATATGATAACTACAACATCCTGGAAGAATTATTTTCGCGCCAAAACGTATCCCCCTTTTTGCGCGCGAAACGAAACCATTGCATTCTGGGATGTGAACACGTGAAAAAGGGAAAATGTGGACGATACCATGCACCTCGAAGGAAGGGGCGATTGGATTATCGAACTACTTGTTTGTATTTTTATACCTACGTGACCGCGGTGTTAGTTTTATTTTCGCTAATAATATGAAACATTAGAATAATTATGCATTATAAATGATGCCAAATATGAAAAAATACACGCCAGTTAGACTGGGTTTTCATAAAACCTTTGTGAACACTAGGCTTAACCTAAATATATCTTCTAAAAATGCATAGCTTCCCACTTCACTCTCATTGTAATAGTGACAGTAAACAGAAGATGGAAAGTTTCTGAGCGTCGTAATTTATTGTACAAAATAAACACTATCCTAATTTTTTCCACCTGTCAGCTAAATGTATTCAGTACTTCTCGACATTTTCTAGTGATATGAAATATCGTTCTGTAAAATAGTGGTGTTAACGTTTGTAAACAATATGTGTGAGTACTATAAAGATAATACCTGTTAATCCATACTTCATTACGTACATGTAGGTTAAAAGAAAACATTTAAGGAAAGCGTCCGCTAAAAATAAAAGAAAACCGATTTGATATTCTGTGTGCGTTAAATTTGTTTACAGTTTGTTTTTAGTAAACTAACTAATTAGACATTATGCTTCTTAAATGTTACTAAACATAATGATTAAGTTTGAATAACTGTAATATTTTAGCAACAGCTTATTTTTTATATATTCTTTGATTAGTAATACAAATAAATATTTTTCAGCATGATAAATGACAACATTAATTGAAGATATCAATTACAATTTTGAATTGAATCATTTAAACTTAACATCAAAATATGTACATACATATTTTCATGTAAGTTTAAATTATTTTAATTGTGTTGATAGTGTTTAGAATAGCTGTCAATTAGAGATATACATATTTTGATTGTAATACCAGTAAAAAATTAACATTATGAATGAATGTTATTTGTAGTATCAAAATATCTAGACCTGTTATAGGCCTATGTATTATTAAAACTGTAAATTATAGATATTAGTTTAATAAATATAAAGATTTTTACATTTGCTTATAAATATTTTTAATTAACTTATGTGCTCTAGTTGATTAAAGGAAATAAATTGTAGATCTTTCATTTTTTTATCTAAAGATATCAAAGTTTTAAGGAAATGACTTTTATTAAGTATTGCAGCTATTATATCTATTTAAAAAAAAATAACTCATATTAAACTGTTTCATTGGCTCATAAGAAAGAGTTAAAATAAAACAGTAAATAGAGTCATAAATGTGAACAAAAGAATGACAATTATAAATTCCTCACTTATACATATTTTACATTTTTCTTATAAAAATTTTTTAGTTTATTATAAAAGTAAGTTTATAACTTATTTTATAATAAAAATTTTAAAATAAAGTGATCAATATAAGAATAACGAGTTATATTTTCATATTATATTTATCTGTTTATATTAAAATTTTCTAATTGTGCATATTTGATCTTTATAGCACAAATAATAACATTGCCTGTTGCTAGTACTCCTGCTACAATTACTATGTCACCTTACAAAGTAGAACCGTCAATTTTGCCAAAACCTGTGCATCTAACTAATTCTCCTGTGGTAAGTGATAATTCCTGAATATAATTTATGTTTAGAAACTTTGCAATAAATGTTTATTTCATATAAATGTTTGTTTACAAATAGTGGTGCACAATGTTTAATAATTTAGAAAATCGTTGGTTTAGAATAACATCCCTTTCTTTAAAAAAAAAATATATAGTAATGAATATTAAAAGTCCATATTTAATTACTACTTGTATGTATTTATTATTTAGTATTTTTGTGGTATTTTTTATGTATTTTAATTATAGTGCATTCAAAATTAGAGTATAAATTATCTATGCATTAAAGATATAACAATAGTATGAAATCAAATTTTATTTATTAAAAGTTGTAAATTGATTTTTGGTTATACTAATTATTCTTTCACTTCTTTCTAAAAATGATTTAGACTTCAAAATACTTTGTTTTATTTTACTATCCCATCTTATCGAAATTCTAAATATTACTTAATATTNACATTATTATTCTTTATTGTTATTATAATTCTTTGTTTTGCAACATACAGTGAATACCAATTATCTAGTTAAGAAAGCCTGAATGTAGCTAAGCTAAATCTCTGTCAAATGTCGAGAAAATTTGTTGATGAACTTCAGGGCTGCAATTTAACTGGAACAGAGAAAAATTTGTAAAATAATCATGTTTCGTTTTAAGTTTAAAGTATCTGTCTATATGAGGGTTGGCTTTTTGCCGGCAGAAACTGTTTATAACCGGTAAAAACTGGCAGAAACTAAAAAAACTTGTATATTAGTTCTAGTAATTGCTTAATAATATTTTGTTTAAGTAAACTAAAGAATGTAACTGTAGCAAACTTTTTAATTCATTGTTTGTAAATATATATTATTTTGTTTACATTAAATATAAAGAGTGCAGTGCAGTATATCAAATATTTATATTAATTAAAAAATAAAGTAATGTAATAATAAATATAAATTTTAGTTTATTATATTAAACTTTGAAATTCAGTAATTATTATCATTTAACTCCTAATAGAACTGAGTAGAGCTACTTTCAAATAGTTTTTTTTTTTCCTTTTCAAGACAGAATTTGCATGGCAACAATCCAATTATTATAACAGTAACAGTTTTAATCTTTGCTGTATGTAAGAAGTAATATAATTGGTTAGATTCACTGATTCATAAATGTAAACAGCAATTTCACTGGCCATTTTGTTTAACATTTAAATGTTTTTTCTATGAATTATCCATTGTATGTCAATCTCAGTACTTAACTTGTATGTCATTTTCTGAATTTCTGCCAGTTTCTGCCACAAATGTGGCAGAAAAGAGTTCCTGCCATGCCAGTTTTAACCGGTTTCTACCAGTGGTTTTAACCATCTTGACAGAAACTTGCCAACCTTGGTCTATCTTCTGTTATAACAAACCATTTTCATAAGAAATTTCTTACCGCTTTTTTCTGAATTTAAGTGAGATACAACATTACTTAACTATCACTATTCCAATCATAAAACTTTATTGAAATCTGTGGTTTTTCCCATTTATTTTTTATTTTTTTTGAGAATGTTAAAAATATGACAAATTTAAAGAGATAATTAAATCTATAAAATGAATTCTAAGTTTTGAATCACCTCTCTGTTAGTAATAAATTTTAGCTAACTTGAACATTGTTGTAAGGAATTATTTTATTGCTAAGCTCAAATTTGCTTTCTATTCCTTTAACTTATTACCTTTTAATAGTTTCCTTATTTGCTCATTTTAATTTACAGATTTTAAGTACCCCTCAACGAGTTGTTGCAAGCGTTATAAATAGCACCCGCACCCCACAACAACTGCTACCTGCTCCAGAACATCCCATGGCATGGTCTGGGAAACGTCCTCATGATTTCACAGAAGAATACCATGAAAGGTTTCATAATATTCTTTACTCCTGACTTAAAAGAAACATTAAATTAGTGAAAAATATTGTGCCCAAAGATGATTTTGCATCAAGCTCTGAATGCAGAATAATCAGAAGATTTCAATGCATAAGCTGCTTTTAATATTCTTCCATCAACATGACAGTCTAGTACAGGCTAGAGTCGCCCCAACAACCATATCTCCATCTATTGATGCCCATGGTTTTAAGATCTTTTCCTATTTATCTTAAAATCATGGATCAATCTCTTTTTGCAATATTTAGGATATTCAAAAATACAAGGCAATACTTTCCGCCTGTAAAGCATCTAGGCAATGTCATTTGAAATTATCTAGAGTATTATGTTAAGTTTTGTTACTTTGTAGAAGTTTGGAAAAGCTGAGCAACTAAAGTTTCGAAGATATAAAAAAAATTAAAAGATTGAGAAAACAACTCTTTAAATCATTTGCAAAAGCATAGTGTTGGTTCTCTGTTTGACAGATTGTCATGTATAAGCAGTGCTACGTCTTTAATTACTTAATACATAGTGAAGAGACTGTTCACCAATATCTATCATTGTTTCACCAGCATCTGTGTTTCTCAACTAAAATTCTTTGCATTGTAATAAGCCACTTCTACCTCCATTGAATACCACATAATGCCATTAAGCTCTACATATTTTTTTTTTTTTNTTTTTTTTTTTTTTTTTTTTTTTTTTTTTTTTTTTTTTTTTTTTTTAGAAACTGCATATTAATTCCAACTTTTTGTATTCTTTATATTAATTTTTTAAAAATAACTAAATCCTTTCAGACATCTTTTTTTTAAAAATTGTTTATTAAATTTTTTCATACATTTAGAATTTAATCTTTTCAGTGTAATTTTTTTTTCTTAATTAAGGTAAAAGTAATATTCCAACAAGATGTTCAGTCTTTGTTGTTAAAGTTTAGTCTTGTTTCTGACTTCTTTCAATCATATTTATTAATTGCATAATTTTTTTTCAGTTATTGATCAGTGATAAAAAAAATATGCAAATTAATTCTTTTATTAATCTAAAACTGTGTACATTTTGTCTTATAATCAAGAATTACTTATCTAATTAATTCTTGATTATGCAAATTAATTCTTTTATTGATCTAAAACTGTGTACATTTTGTCTTATAATCAAGAATTACTTATCTAATCTTCTTTTTTTTTTTCTTCATAATATGTTATTTTTAAAATGTGCGGCTTTACCAGGAGTTGTATCTTACATCTGACAATAAGTGCACTTGAAATTTTTTAATTATCTATATCAGTTTGCTATATTCTTAAGTTAAATGTAATTGCTTAAAAATATTTATCTACTGCTATTTTACTTTGTACATGAATGTAATCATGATCTTAATTATGTTTTTTTGTTATATTTAATTTAAACTAATATTTTTCAGTAAACGTTGTAAAAAAGGAGAAAAGGGAGGTAAAGGTCTTCGTCACTTTTCCATGAAAGTTTGTGAAAAAGTTAGAAAAAAAGGAACAACTTCGTATAATGAAGTTGCTGATGAATTGGTAGCAGAGTTTTCCGATCCGCACCGTCATCTTTGTGCGACAGACCAGGTAAAAGCATTTATAAACTAATTTTTATCATGCTTTAACAAATTTTAAAGCATTTATAAAAATTGAATAAGGAAACTAGAATCTCTCTAACTATTTCAAAACAAATTTAGTAATTTTTACTTAGTTTTTTTAATTAAATTATGCCAGCTTAATATAATATTTCTTCAAAGGGGATCACCTTCAGCTAAACATTTAATTCCATGATATCAAAGCACGGAAAGGTTCATCCAAATTTAATTTTCAGGGTCTAATTTTTGTAAAAATAATATTAATATTTTTCGGAAAATTTCTTGATTATGCCTTAATATTTATTTCTAAACATCAACTTTAAGTATTTAAAAACAAATAATTTGCAGTAATTTAACAGAATAGTAAACAGAAACTCATATTTTTTGTGATAGCCTTTTCAAAAAAAAAATTTTTCATGTAGACCATACCAAAAATTAATAATGAGGCAAGTTAGAATTTTAATATTTGCAACAAAAAAAATTTTTTAGAGGGATAAAATCTGACACTAAAAATTAAACTTATGAAAATAAAAGGTGCTACTAGAGTACCATTATTTTTTTTCCATCCTGTCTTAATTTTGTGACAGGGCCAATTTTAGGGACCTGTTTTACAAACTTAAATTCTGTGAAAAGGCCATGAAAGATACCCCAAAATCAAATTTAAATGCATCTTAGCTCTCTAATGATACTAATGTAGCATTTTTTTTTTTTTAAAAATTAGACAACAATAATGAAATAATTTTAAAAAAGTTACCATTTTTTTTCCACTTGTGTTTGAAAAAACCTATTAATTCCCTACAGTTTTTTCCTTTGGGTAAGAAACTTGTCATCTCTGTACTTACGTTTCTTAACCCCTACATTATTTACTTTTTGTGAAATATGTTTAAACAGGGTGCGTAACATTTTTAAAAAGTGCTTAAAGCTGCTTATTTTAGTTTTTTAAAAGCCCTTAAAGGTGCTTTTTTCATTGGGTGTTTTTAAAGAGTACTTAATTTATCCTTTTTCAAAATATAATTCTTTCTTTACTATGTTGATTTTCCCTTCGAATTCTGTAAAAAGACACAGTTCGTATTGTTCTATTCAACGTTTTCACAATTAATTCACCTATCTATTTTGACGTATTTGTCAGTCCGTAGCGTATGAAAACGCCATTTGTTTTACATGATTCAAAATTTCATGATTAAGTGCTTAAAAAAATTTTTTTTAGTGCTTAAGGTTCTTATTTTTTGTTGAATTATTTGGCTATACACCTTGTTTAAAGAAATTAAGAAGTTTACCTGAAGCTTTCACCAAATGTCTGACATTACTCATTATTGGCTGTACTTTTGTAACATTATTATTCTTTATTGTTATTATAATTCTTTGTTTTGCAACATACAGTGAATACCACTTAACCACCTAGAATGAATGTTAAAATAAATGCTTTGATATATGTTACAAAACTAAGATCTTGATCCTAATTTTGTAAAACTTCTTTCAGGCTTACGATCAGAAGAACATTCGACGCAGAGTTTATGATGCATTAAATGTTCTAATGGCAATGAATATTATATCAAAGGAAAAGAAAGAAATTAAATGGCTAGGACTTCCTACTAATTCTGCTCAGGAATACCAAAATTTAGAAGTAAAATTCAACTGCTATTTTTAATCGAATGCCCAATTAATTGTATTTTCAAAAAGTGTAATGAAACATTTTTAATTGCAGAAAGAGAAATTAAAAAGAATTGAAAAAATCAGACAAAAAACTCAGCATCTACAAGATTTAATTGTTCAAGTAAGCTTGTACTGTAATTTTTAATATTATGTAACTTATTCTGTGTTTTCTTTTCTTTTAATTTTTTTCTATTTATTTATTTATAGCAAATCAGCTTAAGAAATTTAACTTCTAGAAATAAAGGAGTTCGACAGCAAATGAAAGGCCCACCATCAACGAATAAAATCCATTTACCGTTTATTTTATTAAATACACATAAAGATACAGTGATTGATTGTAGCATATCTAGTGATAAGTAAGGAATTTTATTTCTTTCATCACTGTTTCTGCATTTAATTGAATTTTACTGTCAATTGCCCTGTGCATATAAAATAGTTATACATATAGGATGTCAGTACCAAATGTGAAATTTTTTTTTAACACAGCACTCTTGTGGAATAGTGTATAACGCTTCGGAAAATGTGCTAACACTTCGCTTAGTCAAAGAGTGTATCTATTTAAATGTTCATGAAAAAATTACAGCTTTTTTAATATTTGATCAATCTCAATCATTCAACAACATTTATATGACTTGTATGATTTCTATGAATGAAAGTAAAATTCTCGATTGTATACATTTGAAAAGGATATTCTTGAAAATATTTTCTTAAAAGTTAATAAGGAGCAATTAGGAATTACACTTAAATAGGATAATCATAGTTTAAAAATAAAAAGTACATCTCTCTAGAATAATTTTGTGTGTACAAAATTGTTCTTAATTGCATTTCCCCCTGGTATAAGTGATGTTTATGCCTGAAATTTAATATATTTAACTAAAAAATTATTTAAATAATTCCACCAAATGAGTTTTTATCACTGGCTTGGTAAAGTCTTAAATATTTTTTTTCAAGGTTTTGATTATTATTTATACTTGTTACTCAAAGTCCCTTTGTGTATATAAATTTTTATGTAATTTGTTATGTGATACTTAAAATTTCTTCTTTATTAGACTTCCAATTTCTGATAGGATTTTGTATATCTATGCATGCGTGCACAAAACGTTTGACAAAATTTTGAAAGACTGCTCTATTATTTTTAATTCAAATTTCTACCAAATTCAAAACAATTTTTTTTATGCAATATTTACTTAGTTATCATTTTTTGTCTCTGTTTTCTCTTTTGATATTCATGTACACTTATTTTTTAATTAAGTTAAAATTTTATATATATTCATTGACAAAAGAAAAATATATGCTACTTTAGTTTTTAATCGATGTAAATGATTCTTATACAATTTTTATTTTCTATCTCTCAGGAAAGAATACAAGTTTTGCTTTAGTGACATATTCCAAATTAGTGATGATTCAGAAGTTATGAAAAAAATGGGCTTAGATTGTGGCTTAGATAAAGGCATAAGCACTCCTGAGCAAGTCAGCAAAGCTAAAGGTTTAGTTCCTAAAGCTTTACAGCCATATATCTCATGTAAGTAACTAAAGTTTTTTTTTTAATTCGAACCTATGAGGCATAAAATTTACTACATTACTTTTTGAAAGTTTAATAACATATTTTTGTTCAAATTCATTTATGTAAGTTTTTTTGTATCATCCTTCCAAGTGTAGAAACTAGGAGCAGGGCGTATGATTTTTTTTCCTGAATTTTACATATCTCAACAACATTGCCTCACATACTTCCACGATTCAAAACTATTAATTTAGCAACATTTTAACCACAATGAAAATTATGAAACTTTTGCTAAATCCTGTAAATGAGGCATTTTCCTGCTTGTGATTCTACTGCCAATTTGATATACATGTATTTTGTCTGAGTTTCATAATTTTTTATATTTGAAGCCACGCCTTAATCCGCTATTATCATGATTAAAATTTCAAACATTGATTTTTCTATTTACCTGATTTAAAAGTTAACACGTTATGAATTGTATTCAAGCAATCTAAAAATCACGCCGTGTGATTCATATTCATGCTATCTAAAAATCCAATAACGTGATTTGGTGGGGAATTAAATTATAGTTTTTAAAAAAATCAAGTAGTATAATATTGATATCTTGTTATCAAATTTTTGCTTAAAAAATTTTCAATGTTTTTAACTTAGTGTCACAATTGTCCCTGTCAAAATTTATTTTTAAAAGAAATCAAGTGATTTAAATCATGCCATACCCCTTTTGGTTTTTCATTAGTCTTTCTTAACTGGTATTGTCTGTAAATTTTAATTATTCTGTTTTCATTGTAGTGATGTCTCAGGGAAAAAGCGATTTACCCCCAGGTATGGTTAGTGATGGAAATGGTGTTAAAATCGAAAGTGTATATTTGAATGATTCTGCAAATTACTCCTACTGGTAAGATTTTTTTTAGTGAATATTTTGCATATTTACCTGTTTTTTGCAATTTGGATAAAGTTTCTTTCTTTTATTTATAATAATTTGTCATATTTCCTGCCAGAAAGATTTAAATAATCTGTTTCTTTTTTATGTTTTTAAATTGCTTGATGATGCATTCAGATAGCTTTCTCTTTAATTGTTAATCTGTTATACTCAGTTTAATACTCTATGAATTGTGTACTTAATAACATTTGTATTTTAAATACTATTACTATTTCTAGTTTTTTGGGTCTTTGACATCTATATTTTAAAAATATTTTGATATTTTAGTCAGACTAAGTTTATCGCAATTTGACATTGTATTATGTATGTAACAGCAATTATGTTAGAAGTAGTAGAAATGCTTTCAGCTCTAAAGCCATATGATGATGTGTATGCAATTAAAGATTTTTCTCCCTATGTCAATTAAATATGACTTTGTTTTTTTAATTCATTCAACTTGTGATGAAAGTGATATAATGCTAATTGTTGATGGACGGGAATGGGTCTCCTTTCCCTGGCAACATCAATAAATTAGTAGATAACAGGGTGAATTTACGCAGCGGCAAAATTCTGGAGTACAAAGCTCGTTCGGAAATAAATATTTATTCGACGACTGTGTCACGTGAATAAATTTTAAATGATTAGATGGAAAAATTAAGCATCATAGCTATGCATAAGAGTCCCTCATGGGAACTCCTCTCTGAAAGAATATTGCATAATTGTAACTTAAGCAAAACAAAAGAGAGCAATAGCATTGTTGTCAAGTCTCGGCCTTCTAAACATTGAGATTCGATTTGATAAATCTAAACTCCCAATTTCAGACACTGGATTTTTGGTATCATATTTAGTTAAAAAAAATTTCAATACTTTACTTTTCCAACTAATGAAAAAAAAAAATAGAAAAATGACCTATACATGGGTAAATATGAGGTATTATTCTGCTTCTGGTTGTCGCAAGGAAATTGTCAAACCAGTATTAATGTAAATACTGTTTGTAAGTTTATTTAGTCACAATTTAATGTTGGAAGCTTTTCAATAAATTAGTAATGCAATAAATTAGTTAGATCTATTTACAGCCCGCTAAATACCTGTAAAATACTATTGAAACTGGGATGAATGTTTAGCTTAAATTAAATATTTTTTGCCTTTTAGTGACTTGCAAGAAGCATCTTCTTCATCTTCGGGACCTGGATCTGAATATGTTGATATAGAAAATACTCAAAGTAGTATGAAGTCTGTATTATCTCGTCAGTCCAGTGTTGGCTCTCTGTCTGATTTACCCTCTCGCCCAGGTACAAGCACTCCATCTGAAGATTTCTCTGATTGTGAATCGGAATCTATGGATGGGGACGAGTCTAACTGAAGTTTGAATCTTCGAAGAATGTTTGAGTTTTATTTGTTTTGTTAAAGAAATCTTTTGTCATATCAGTTTTGATCTGGGGGAAAATCTTATAGTGTGTTACTTAAAAATGAAAAAGATATAACACTTGTGATCTTTTTTTTTTTGTTTTTTAACATTTCCCTGTGGACAGAATACTGTGTACCTGAAGTGCTCTGAATACATACTCTGACTATGCCTTTCTCTAACTATCTGGGCAAGTTGACCACTTGTCCCTTGTGATCAAGCCTCCTTCCATCCAGTACTGTTCTTTATTTCACTTTATTACATGACTGGAAATATACAAAAAAACGTCATAAGGAACTGTTAATGGATGTTGGAATTCCATATGTGTGTTGTGCTGTCTTACCATCTCTAGATTGTTTGCAATTTGAAGAGGGTTCTTTGTTTTTGGTCTGTTTTAAAAGAAACCATGAGCAACATTCTTGTACAGGTCACTCTAAATGTGACATTTTTCTTTCCCTCCTGCGAGGTGTGCTGATGAAAAATATATTTGTGCTAAGCAAATTTGAAATGAGATATAGGAACTACGCCATTCTTACCAAGAGTACACGCACAAGTCTTGTATTAATAAAAAATTATGAAATTACCCAAATATTTTTCATTACATTTCTCCCCTTTTTCTCTGCACCGCATAGTCAGTGTTAGCTCAATAAATAAATTTGATTGCAGTGGTATTTCTAAAATCCATGATCAATCACCTATCACTTTATCCATTGTTAATTTATCACATTTCTGTTAAATGATTGTTCAACGACCGCTGCCGTCTTTTAAGTAAAACACTTCTCATTATTTATTTTATTAATAGGAATACTTTTATTACTGTTATTAGAAGAGATTTGATAGCCTAATAATAGCTAAATTATGATTAGGGCATACAAGTGCTTATTTTAAAGAGTATTTTTAAAACAATTCTAACCATGCAAATCTAAATAAGTTGGGAATGAAACTGGCATCAATTTTAATACAAATATTTTTTATAAAATCATTGTTTTTTAAAATATTGAAAAAGAAAAATTATGATTAAAATTTATTAGTGCTTGAAGTGTATTTATATTAAAAAACTAAAAGCTTTAGGATACATAAATGTGTGTTAAATAAAAGTAAATTTGATTTATAAAATAATAAAATGATAAAGTAAAATGCAGTTATTAACTAAATTATTTTAAAAGGGTTACTATCAATAATACTAATTGAGCGTCACAAAAATAAAAACAATAGTGATATTTTGATTATATGCCCTGCCAGAAAATGTAAGTAGTTTTATAATTGATGAGAGGATTACATTAGTTTTATAATTTTACTGATATTTATTCACTAATCCATTATAAAAACCCTAGAGTAAGTGCTACTTAGCTCAGCAAAGTTATTTAGCTTTCACAAAGTTATCAATAATTGCAATTTTGAAAAGAAGAAAAACAACAAAGAATGTGCAATATAACAAAGGATAATTAAACTAGATTTTTATAGCTGACATTTGATACATTAAAAAAAGCTTCTCTGACAAATTTTTACCATTGTTAAATATTTGATAGTATACAAATAACCTCCCAACAATAATGTGACAAAATATAATTGTAATTAAGATAATGATATTGCTTAGTTTCTTCTGTTATTAAAATAAGTCTCTTCTAATTGCAGTCACTTTCTTTTGAATTATCTCAAATTTTTTCCTTACAATATGAAATTGCAAATAGTATACATCAACTGTATTTTAAGAACTTATTTAATGAAAATGATTTATTTTAATTTCGTTTAAATTGTTTTCAGGAAGTGTACATTCTAAAATTTCAGTGTTATCTTAAAAGATGGTTGCTGGTCTTGTTCAATATGTCATATTTTGTTTTATTTGTAAATAAAATTTTGTTAAAATGATTTCCATATGGAAATATTAATTTATCGAGAGCTTAAGAAGCAGTTTTGAAAAATCCAAACTTTTCTTTCTATAAATACACCACTTTCTTTCAAACATGCTGTGTGATGTCCACCTATTTCAGAAAAACATTTCCCTTACAACTTATGCAATAATAATTTTGCTCTGGCTGACTGTTGTTTAAAATACATTGAAGTAAAGCTATTTATCTTAAAATATTAATTCCACTTATTTTCTTACACAAGACTTATTTTCCTTCCAATTTATAAATATTATTTAAATTTGTTGTTTGTCTAATATATCCTGTGCCAAACAAGCCTGTTTTTAGTACAACTAAATGAAGTAGGATGTAAATTGTGTATTACTGCAGACTCATGATAGCCACTAAAATTTATACCTGTTCACCATGTTAAATCTATTCTCGTACTTTCTAAAATTATTATCAAAAGCTTTTACAAATGAATCTTGTTGAGACTATTTCTGAAACTGACCTAAACACAATTCATGATAGCTCGAATCTGACAGTATCTGAAAAAGACTGTTTCAGCTTTTAACCGGAAGTGAAATAATTAGGTAATCTAATAATTTGTAATGCTGAGAGAATTTAAAGCAGAATATAGTTTGGATAGGCATAACTAATCCTTTTTTTCATGAGTTTATATTCTTTTAGGTTTTTCCTTTTTAATAAAGGATTTGTAGAACAATGTCTCACTTGACTGCTATATCTTCCGTCAATGATAGAGTTTATTTTATCCTTCCTTAATAAAATTAGTTATCTTCTATGTTGAACACTCAGAGGAAAATTTCTTGCACGTGTGATCAGCAGCAGAATTGGCGTAATTCTCATTTATGTAATATCCATTTCCAAAACAAAGACAATTCTTTCAAAATAATAGTCAATGTAACACCATTTATTTCATACTCAACTAACCTTTTTCTTATACATTGACTCAACTTTTTTATTTTTGCATCAATTTTGGCTTGTAAGACAGATTGATTTTTGTTACATTGAGTGCATAATGATTGTTTTTTTATGCAGTTAAAATTCCATCTAGCTCTTGCCTCATTGAATCAATGGTCTGGCATCGAGTCTATTGTGCTAAAATCGCAAAAAAATAATAATAATAATAATTCTCTTTGATGGTAGCAAAAAAAGCTTTAAAAATATACTGAAAAATAGTTAATAAATGAGTTAAATTACTAATCAAATAATTGGACTTCAAGTTATCACAAATCGACTTTATTAAAACTTACTGAGTTTTTCAGTAAGAAAAAATATTCCAAAGGAGTTAACACTGTGACACATTTTAACTCTCAAAAGCTTGTGTCTTAAAATAATTAATTCCTTTGAATTTTTTTATTTTGAAATATTTTCTCCTACAATTAGATCAAAATGGCTGTCATGAATATTCTCTACAGAACAAACAAAAGTAAATAAATATTTTTCTTTTATAAAAAAGATATAAAAAAAATTTAGTCTAAAATTATTAGTTATGGTATTTTACTCCTGTCACTTTAATGCACTACTATAAGTAAAATTTTATCTGAAATATTTTTCTCTATTGCTTATTTTTTCACAAATTATTAAAAATATAGAAAATAAGTCTGTGGAAATTTAGCAAATTTTTATATTTGGACATATTTGCTAAGATTTTTATAATGAAATTACTAGTCTCTTAAAAACTTATGCTTTTACGGGTTAAGACAGAAATATAATTTGTGTTCACTTCTAAAATTTGTTAATTATACTCTAAAAATACATTGTTTTTTATTATTATTTTTAGTATTTTAAAAATTGTACAGAGCATTGTATCTTAATGTTAAAGATTTGAGCCAGTTTTCTGTTATAAATACATTTGACTAAAATGTATATTTTATCACATAAAAATTGAATTTAATTTCCATTTTTGTTACTCCTAGTATACTGCCCCATAAATAAATATATATATTTCTTCTAGTCCAGTGAAGTTACAAATTTTTTATAACTGCTTTAAATGTAAATAAATCTAATTTGCGACCATAGAAAAAGAATGAAAATAATATGGGATATTTTAACCTTAAAAGAATATCTTATTGTGTCGTGGAAACTTTTTATTTAAACTATTTTTAACTTTGGTTTTGAATGATTTTTTTTTTAAGCAAAAAATTCTTACTTGAATTATTTTCAAGCTCTGGAAATTTTTACGGTTTGATCATCGTATTTTAGCAGAATTTTGGTTTCATAGGTTTGTATTGGTTTTATAGAGGATTTCTATTTCCTAAGACTTTAAAGAGTGATAAGTATTTGGTTTCGACTTTTTTACAAAGTAATAGGTACTATTTTGTCATCTCTTCATACCGGTGTAGGTACCACCTATTGTAAATTTCTATTGATTATTGCAATTATTCAAGAAATTATTGATCTAAAATTTAAGTTAAAAAAATTAAAAAAAATTTCCAACACGAATGTTAAGAAGTAGTTATATTATTCAAAAATATCGAAGATTTTGCTGATAAACTACTCTTATCATAATGATTAAACATATAATATGAACGCTAATTTACCATAAAAAATACGTAGGTTGCTATATAAATTTAAAGTATCATCAATATAATGTGATGGTTTTATGAAAATGTGTCAAAGCAAAAAAATTATGAATTCACACAAATATGAAATAATGTCAAGCACATTTATCACAAATATGTGTTTTGTTGCAAAAAGAAAAGAAAAAATTTTATTTTTTAAGAGAATAGTTCAATATCCCAAGTGACAAAATTTTCTAATTCTTAGAGCTTTTTAAAATCGAAACTTATATTGCTTAAAATTAGAATAATCAAAATATATAGAATGGATATAATTTGTAAACCTTTTCATGTACTTGGTTTCTAGTTAATGTTTGAATTAATTGGGGGAAAAGTTAGTTGCTCTGATAAAGACATTTTTTATTTGTAAAAATTTGAGCTTAGCCATACAGTAAAAGTAAGCATTTTAAATTCCTAAGAATAAAAAAGGAAAATATTTATTTTTATCATTTATCCCTTTCAAATGTCACTTAATATCAAAAAATCCTTTGTTCCTGAACTAATAAACTAACTTTTCTTGTATTTTTCTTCGCAAGTACCTGAACATTCTATACTTATTTCTTTAGCTCTAAAGCGTTGAAAACATATGGCTTAATTTTTTTATATCCAAACCTGCAATTTACTTCAGCTTAGCAGAATGTATTGAAACAACCAAAAAAACTTTGCTTTCAGTATAAATTCATTTTTTTAAGAAGGGAATAGTTGTTTGCCTGATTCTTGGGACTGACTTAAATAGAGCATTTCATTTTCTGTTTAGTATGGCTATTTACTATTCTCATACTACTATGAAAGCTGTACGCTTCATTTGAGTGAAATTTAACCAAATGATAAACGGGCCAACATGTGACAGTTGCTAGGAACTTCTGTACTAATAAATTTATATGGTAACCTACATATTTTTTGTTTATTTTTATGTATATATATTTTTATCTTTGAAATTATTTTTTAAAAAAAAGTAAATATGCTTTTATTCTAAGAAATGTATGTTATGTCTATCCTTTATCAAAATTTCCTTATTTAAAAAAAACATAATTTGATATTAAAATGTTTGTGTCTAAGTTTTGTAAAATGGTATTTTAGAAAAATCTTATTAAAATATAATTTTAAGAATTATATTTTTAGCTAGTATATCTTGTTATTAATATTTATTTTTTTAATTTGAATACAGATAGCTTATTTAATTTTAAAATATGATGAATGAATGATTGATTTTTTTTAACATATATGGATTCTGTCAGATTATTCTATATTTTTATTACCATGACATTTTAAATTGCTATTTCAGTATTATAATTATTTTAATTGCATAAGAAAAAATTAATATTTAAGCTTGAACTGTGGGAATTTTTTAAGGTTGAATACTCCCCATTCCAGCAATAATGATTAATAGACCCAGTTTTATGGAAGATTTGTTATATGTATTTTACATTGTAAAGCCATTTAATGTACACACTGCTGTGTAAACTGCTTTGTGTGTTAAGTAGTTAATATGTTTTAAATTGAAAATAAAAATAATTCTGTTAAATGCTTTTTTGTAATGATTACTTTGTTGCTCTTGATATATGTATTCATAGATAGCACTACTTTATAGCATTCCGTTTGAAAGGCTCATTGAAGCATTGGTTGTGTCATTTGAAGATCGTATACTTTTTGTAGGTTTAGGAACAGATTATAGTTGACTGTAAATAGTATAATTAGTTGCTTTAGCATTCTTGAATTGTGTGTGTCAGCTACTTAACAGCATTCTATTTCAAAAGCTTATTGAAAGCACTGGTTGTGTCATTTCAAAAATAATGTACATTTCATAGGTTTAAGAACAGATTATAGTTGGCAGTAAATTGTGTAATTAGTTACATTAGCTTTTTTTTTACTTGAATTGTTCAAGACGTTAGTAGAGTGGCAACCTACCTGGAAAATCTTAGATGTCTGCAATTATCAGGGAATTTTTTAAAAGGGGTAAATATCAGAAAAATCACGGAAATTTAAAGAAAAACGCGATTTTTTTTTTTCCTTGATTTTTTTTTTCATTATTATTTTACCATGCATGATACTCACTCTTTTTTCAGACGGAATCTTATCGTAAAACCCTTCATCAACTTAGCAATACTTTGCTTGCATCAAAACCTGCTTACTCCCGCAAACCCTACTTACTCCCATACAGTTAAAAAAAACTAGATAAGAACGCCACATGTAACTCTCCCGTAGTTGCTAAATGTATGGAGAAACCTTTGACCTCTTTGGAGACTATAGAACGAAGCAGTTTATGAAAGGCAAAGATTGTGGTGGGGTGGGATAAGGTTATTTGGTCCTGTTAATAACAGCAGTGGGTTTCTTTTCCCCCCGTTCTAGTCCATGGACCGAAAAAAAATTACATATTAAATAATATCATTCAGAATATTGGCACTTTTCTTGGAGTTAAGTACCCAGCCTATGGATGGTGTTTTCAGTAGAAATGTAAACAATCTCGAGCTCGGCACCTACTCTAGTTCCGGTTAAAAAGTTTGCAGCTGCTTACTGCATATTATTCTGATAGGCGATGTTTTCAATAAGAGAAATAAATTAGATAATTTCTGAGCTCAAATATGCGGTATTTCATAAGATATTAATGTTATAAAGTAATTCTGGGGAGTTTGGAGTGAAAATTTGCTTTAGTTATTTTGTTATTTATTATTAAAAAAGGTGACATGGTTGCTAGATTTTGAATAACTCGCTTTTTTGACAGTCTTGATTTGGCCTCTTTCCATAAGTTTATTTCTGTTTGTTCTTGTTGCAAGCTGTGCACTATCTTACGTTAGTGTTAACACTTTTAGCATTGTAAACGCAAGTATTGTTAGCATTGTAAACACAAGTAATAAGTAATCAAATACATTGTTTGCAAGAATCTCAAAACACAACGATGCCAAATGGCTTTAAAATACAACGGAAACAGTAACCCGGAAATTTAGGTGGTACCGAGCTTGCAGCGCTCCCTAGTGTAAAAAACACCATCCATACTAAGTGAGGGGAAGAAACGAACACACTGACTAGGAAATTTGAGAAACCACCCTGATTAGTTAACATGTTTTTTAGATCTGAACCTACTTTAAGGAATTTAATTTAAAGAGCTTACTAAAAAATGTGTTCACGAGCATTTTGAAAATTAAGTACTTTTCTTATTTTTTATCTTAAATTAATAATGTTAGTAAAAATCACAAAATTCTGTAGTTCTAACTTGTATATACGCCTGGTTCAGGCATATAGCTTTACTCACAGAATTCATTGTTTCAAACTTTAGAAATTCAGTCATTTTATAAATAAGTAACAATCAGTTATCAATTTTAAATTATAAAATTTTTATGGTGTTAAATTCAGGGTCATACGTTTATTTATTCTCAACAAATCCCGTATGATAGATATGTTATCTAGTAGATGGTTTGAGTTTTATAGTTTAACAATTACTAATTCGCCTCTTTCATTTGATTTTAAAAACGAACGATTCCTATAAATTATACAATAATCATATCGAATATTTAAATGATGAATTTATGGTTCACCCATTTAATTACTTTTAAACAAAGAAAAATGTTAAGCGCTTCTTCAGTAGGTTTAGGTTGCGAAATTATTGAAACCGTACACTCATTTTAAAATTTTATTTAAATATTTGTACATGGGAATATGAATTATTAATTCATACTGGTTATTTTTTAATGAAACAGTACTATTAAAATGTTCAATTTATTATTCTGAAACTGAGTTACCATAAATAAAATTATACTGGAAACTCTTGAAACATTCTTTCCAAACAAAGCCTTTCTTAACAGGACTCGAAAAAACTCAGAAATTTTTCTGTCTTGTCCTTTAATGTACCCGTCCTCCTTTGAAACTAACCCGTAGCTTCTATATAAATAAAAATATTTTTTTCTCTTATTTATTACTAACATTTATATAAATTGCACAATGAATAAATAGTTACTAGGATTACATTATACAGTAATAAAAGAAATACTAGGTTACTAATAGTAAAACCTAGTATTTCTATTATGAAATAATTTATTTCTTTGATGAAATAATTTAAATAACAAAGGTTAAGTTATCTGTCAATTATCATGTCAATTTATCCGATGGTACTGCGTTTTTTAAATGAATCAAATATGACGTTTGCCAGTTCCACAATCAAGCCAATGATTTACAGAGGTTTCTGCACAGAAATCTGAAAGGGGTTTACCATTTAGTTAGATGTTCATAATTGCGTTTAACGCTTCTTGTTTAAAACCAGTACGTAATGTGTTTTTTTGTAAGTTCATTGCTGAAAAGCCCCTTTCAACCGCTGCAGTACTCCCACATTGAGAAAACATCAATTTCACCATGCACAGTATGTTGCTGTATTTCTTGATTAGAGGGTCATTTTAGAAGTGAGGCGTTGGACTCTTGTAAGATAACAAAAATTGAAAATGTATCACGAACATTAACCCTTTCACGCCGACTGTCACAAATACGTGCCAGCATAAAAGCGTATCAATCAAGATAAAATATAAAACTGGTAACTAAAGTAGTTCTTTAGCAGTTTATTTGTGGGCAGGGTTATAATTGTTTGATTTATTTAATTCACCATTACTTTAATTCAAAATAAAATTATTTAGATATACTTTGAACTAACATTGATTATATATATGATCAAAGTAACAATAATTAAAATCAAAGCAAAGTAAGTCTGTTAAATTAGCAACCTGATTCTGTACGAATACTTTTATGAATCGCCCGTTCCCAAGGGGTTAACGGGAAAGTGGCCGTCCGCGCGGTCGTCGGATTCGAGAAATTTGTTGTCGGCGGGGAATTTTTGACCGCCGGGGACGGGCGGTTTTTCGAGCCCTGATTCTTAACTTCAAAATTGTATATTTTATTTTCCTTTTGCAATAATATTTACCTTTATTATTCTGAAACAGAACAAATAGTTTTTTTTTCTTTTTTAGTTTCTCCTTTGCGCTTGGTATATGTCTACTATTTTAATAATAATTTGTCTGCCAAGTCTTTAAAACGTTTGGCAGTTTCCAAACCAAAATATGTTTCTTTTACTTTCAGCTACGTGAGCCTGTCCATAAAACCTATCTCTTTAATAGGTTTTTAGTGTTCCTTCATTCTCTAGTTAGCTTTTCGTAAATTCTCTAATAACATTACTTAACATGCACTTCCACTAAACTGCAAGTTAATTGAGAATCAGCATTTAATTTGAGCTTGCTAAATGAACGTGTTTTGGAAATAGTGCTTATATGCTTTTCAGGTTTAAGAAAGAGATTAGGATTATGGTTGTTAATTAGAATTTAACATATATTCTGCTAGTCTAAGAATGATGAATGGATTCTACAAGAACTTTGAACAGCTACCTGATGTTTCTACAGTATACTCTCTTATGTTTGTTGTTCATTAAAAACATTTGACATGTCCTTCCCCTACACTGAGAGTGTCAAATGTGAGTAATGATAAAATTTCACATACTAAAACTCAATCTTAGTGGCATAAGGCTTTATCTTTAAATATGGTAATTAATTGTAGCAGACGATATTTTAAGTTGCGAAATAAAACACAAAAACAAACTTTTTTTTTCTTGAAGAGGGGAGTTTTTTACTCTAGCGATTCGAAAAAGCTGAAGTTATTTGAAAATAATATTTCCTTGTAATGTCTGTTTTTTCACTTGCTAACAAATAAATATGTATAAAATGAAAAGTAATTAAATTAACATTTTAACAGAATTCTTTGAAAAAGTAGAAGTAGTTCTATTAGCTTTATTGTACTAAAACTTTGAGGCAATGCTATTTATTCGATTAAAAAACAATAATAAAAATAACAAAAAAATAAAATCTCAGTAAATTTCACTTAAGTAGAAAATTGCTGTCTTAAAAACTACTTCTTACGTCATGCGCAACAACGCACTATTTTTACTGCTAGTACTATTTTCGCTCTCGAAGTTTGTTATTTTACGTCAGATTAAAAGTCTGAATTTCAGTTTCTAATTATATTTTTCCTATTTTATTGTTTTCAGTTAATTGATATGCTTAGATTTTTATTGTTCACTTCGTAAGAACAGTAAGTACACTTTTTGATTTTATTTAATTTACATTAGATACATGATTTATACATTTATTTGCAGTTTGAAAAACAAATTGATTCTATTAATATTAAACTTAAAGTAAAACTTTCAATTAGATTTTTGCTCGAGGTGGCACAACCTAAGGGAACTTAAATTATTATTATGAACCTCTTTTAAATTTCAATAAAATTTTGGTAAACACATTATCATTAAAAGTTCCGAAATGTAGAATCAATAATTCGAAAAGTCAAATTTTTGACATATTTTAAAATTTTATTTGAGAAAATCTTTATCTAAAATAAGTAAATATATGCATTTCAAGATTTGTTTAAAATTATAAATAAGTCGTTTATATACAGTAGAAAATTATAAAGCAGTTTTTTCTATGGGAAACACTAATACTTGCTTTAATTTGACAAAAACATTTTTACAACTTTTTTTTATTTATTTATTATTATTTTCATTTTCCTTCCTCTGAGCTGCGAGTCAAATTTGAGTAATGATCCGAATTTCAGGCACTAGGACTCAATTTTAGTGGCACAAGGCTTTATCTTTAATATGCTAATCAGTTATAACAGACGCTATTTTAAGCTACGAAATAAGAGCTAAAAACATCGTTTCTTTGATAAATATAATTATTAATTTATTATTACGCATTAAATTTTCCTGTATATGAACGTGTTACCTCTATAATCGTGTATAGGGTCGAATCCCGGTCAAGGCATGGATGTTCTTTCATTCTCTGTAGTATCTGTCGTTGCTAAGGGAGCAACGTTGGCCTACCTAATCTGATGCCCCTGAATTGCGTTTTTTAACACTACTCTAACGAAAAAAGTAAAATCGGGTTATGTATATATATATATATATATATTGCTCACCAACGCTCGGACTTTTCAAATCGCATCACGCTCTGGAATAAATAAATCGTCAAAAAATATATATATCACGATTTTGGAGTGGGCTGATATTCATTTTTTTCAAAATAATAGTAATAATTTTACAGTTTTAAAGATAATGCTGCTAATAGTAACGTTTTTCTAACCTAAACTACTCGCCGCGAAAAAAAATTAAACTTCCACTTTGACTTAATTCAAAAAATTCTCATTTTTATAAATTTGGAGACTATTTCTTTCTGCGCTGTTGCTCCCCACTTGCACAATTCCTTTCTGTTCGCTTCATCAGTCGGACAGAGTATAGTACTGATAAAGTGGAGAGAAAAATAAGATTTGAGTAAATTAATATTTCGTAAAAGCGTAAAAATTTTTCAATTTAATTACACCAAAATTATTTAATAATATATAAACAAAGTAAGGCTTATTGTTCCCCTACAAACTATCATATTTGACTCTAACCATTCCAGTAATCTTAACCGCTCTCTCGAAATTTTAAGATTATTCTTTTCTTAAAATTTCGTAATCAAAGATCATTTTCTAATTTTCAAGAGAAAAAATATTTAGCTATGTTTGAATTCAAAAGACCGGGTGATAAAAACGTTATTTTTTTTAACCATTCAAAAATACCAATAATAATTTTTAAAAAAAATCTAAATTTTAAAATTTAATATTCTCTAAATTTGAATTTTGCCTTTTGATAAATTTAATTAGACTGGAATGTCTACATTTTAACCTCTTTATCACGTTTTTTTCCCCCCTTCAACTTTCGACTCTTGAATGACCACTGCGCGGCTTCCGCCAGCCAAAAAGCTATTGAAAAATCCTATTAGAAAGGGAAAATCTACAAGTGAGCAGATATTCAACTTGAGTCAGATCCTCGAAAAATCCAGAGAGTATGGAATCAAATTGAATTATCTTGTTACTGACTTTAAATCAGCCTACGATAGTGTTAATCGTAATTTACTACTCAGAGCTCTCAATGAGCTAAGCATTCCAGATAAACTTGTGCGGCTTATGTCTCCTTTTCAACTTAACGCTGAAATGGGTGATTCGTGATTCCGGTGTTAACACTCGAAGTACTTTATTTTATTTTATAACCGTCGTTGAACAGCAGACCCAATTTTATGGGTTTACGACTACTAATGTTCAACTCCGTAGCCTTGTAATTTTGAACCCAATCCAGAAGACAAGGGAACTCCTGTATCGAGTATCGAGAGAAATTTGCCTTTGTGGAGGATTTTTTGGTGGAGCTAACCCGCATCCATTGGTTGAATACAGATACGATTATTTTCTTTTATTACGTTTAAAATTGTAATATTTTTTATTTTCTTGCTAATTAAAATATAATGCTTCTAAAAATTGTTAATCAATTGTCTAGAATCCTCCTTAAGCTGTAAAAGAAATAATTTATATTCATATTCGTAAAATATATTCAATATTTATTTTACATTTTTATACTATAACCTTAAGCGCACAGCTAAATAATTTATTTATTTATTTTCCAGTTAAGTGGATGTTAAACAAAAGCTAATACCTAAACAAAAGCAAAAAAAATATCTTAAACCGAAAAATATTCATTCTTACTATACATATGATGTAGAAAACTAAAAATAAATTATAACTCTAAAACAGGGATTTCTAACTTATATGTTCGAGCAGTGAACTGATCGTTAAAACACGGTTCCCAGCAGATCACCGAAGTCAAGCATCACTGGCTACGGTCAGTGTGCGGGTGGGTGACCACTTGGATCAGTCTGCGTAGGCACCGAGGGTGTGCGGTATTGGTCCTCGTTAAACTGTTTACCGTAAAATGCTCGACTTCGCGAGCAGGTCGTCGGGCTACCGAAGCGGGGGCGCCACCCCCTCCGCAGAGGATCAAAATTGTGATGGCATGTCTTCGGATCATCCTCCGGGATGTTTCCCAGACCGTCGCCAATAGCCCATTGTGCAGCGCTAGTGCGACGTAAATTAACAACAACAACTAACTTACATGCCGGGGCCCCGCAATTAAAAACACCAGTCAAATGGCGAGTCGCAACTTTTTCTTTTATACAGCACTCTATAATGTTTGAAGGAATATTAAACATTACTGCCAGATTTTTCTAGATCTAGTTGTACAAAACAAAACTATTGAATAACAAATAATAATAAATATTTTCTTAGATGCAAAACCTGAGAAATAATTTTTTTTTTTTGCACCGTTAGTATGTTAAATTTCACAGAAACGAAGAAATTAGGTTTTTTTAACTAAAGAAAAGTATTTCAAACCCATTTAGATTTTTTACGAAAATTGTCCCCAAAAAATGACGATTAATATATTTTAGTTCGCGGGCCGGATGCAGCCCGGGGCCGCCATTTGGTAACTATTGCTCTAAAAGGATGCACAAAGCAGAACTAGTGACGAAAAAAACAAAGGAGAAAATAAACATTATTCTTTATTTATTCTTACCTTCATGATTTTTACCCCTATTTTTAGGATGATTTTTAAACTGTTGGTATACTATGGGGGGGGGGATGTAAGCTTAGTTTGATTAAGATCTGATATTTCTATTATTAATTCAAATCCTAGTTAAATGCTAAAACACACAATATCAAAATATAAATCCGAAAATATCAGGTGGAAATTATTTTTTTTTTTAAACTTAAGCAGAAATGAAAAGTTTACTTTTATAAGAGTGTGTTTTTATTATTTTTATTCCAACTAAAAGAATTTATGTTTAAAGGCATTACGCTGTGTTTTTTCCCCTCAATATTTTGTTACAAATAAATATTCCTGAAATTGTTAATTTAAATCTCATAATTTTGTCATTTTGAGACCTTAAAATCAACACATGTTACTCGGTTATTAAATATTTCTATCTGAGGAATTTTGCTCAAAAACTAATGTAATATATATATTTATTTCTTAAACCAAGACTCATAATCTTTACTGTGTTTAATAAGTATATTAAATAATTACAATATAATTTTTTTCCACAAAACTTTGGCCTTAATTTTAATTTGAACACTGATTTGTTAAATATATAACTAAAATTATATTTAATTTCAGAAACCCACAATTTTTTAAATAGAACTTGTTTGATGAAATTTGATTAATAATATTTAATAAAATTATTAATAAATAGTTAATAAATAAAACTTTTAATCAATAATTTAATCAAAGATTAAGTGAAAAGTTAATCTTTGTGTAATTAAATAGATTGAAACTTAGTTTTATGCTTAACATTGGAGAAATGTCAAATATTTCATTTTAACATTAATACAGATGATTGTATCTGTTATTTCAGTAAAATAGCTCTGGGACTATATAATGATTGCTAATGGTTGGTATCTTTGTTATAATACGAAATGGTTTAGGATAATATCTTATAAACGTCAATAAGAATGATACAAAAACACATTTACATGTTTCAAAAATTTATTCAACAAAACCATTCAATATTGGATGCAACTTTATATTTTTCTTTGCATGAAACATTTTAAAATATAAAACTGCATTTTAAACAATTATCAACATAAAAAAAACTAGGAATTAAAAAAAAAAAACAGTTCTTTTAATATAACTGGTTTCTAAGTATTTACAAAATATTTCTAACAACCTAAATTTTAACAATTTATTGCAGTAAATTATGATGGCAATAAAACTTTCATGATATATAAAATAACTTTACTACAAATTTATATTCAGTATCCTGATTCATATGCTTGGAAATAAATAAGAATGAAATAATGTAAAAAAATAAGCACAAACAATGTCATGGAAGAAAGCATTTGATATTCTAAAAACATATTTGTGGGAAAAAATTTCATAATATACATTTAGAGTACAAAAGTTGTGCTTATTTAGAAAGGAATAACATATTCAATTGTTTTTATAGATTACACATTACATAGATTAATTTAATATAAAGAGTAATTTCTTTCAAAGCTAAATGCATTTATTTCATGATGTTCATTAAGTTATTTTACTAATTTTATAAAAAGAATTGCTCAAATCTATCAAAATAATAATCTATGTTGAAATATATTTTAAATAGCGATTGTATTGATCACCGCTATATTATTATGAATTGCACATCACAGACCCTATATAATATTAATTGTCGAAATTTTTCTCATGAGCAAAAAAATTTGGATTTTTAAAAGTAAGGAAATAATATAGATTTAATTTCTTAATAATCAATGGATTTAAAACTCTGTTCATCAGAAAAATGTCTCCTTTTAAACAGAATTATCAATTAAATGTTTATTAAAATTAATCAAGGTTTTTTTTAAAAAAGAAACTTGATTTTGTAAGTAAACATATGAAAAAAGCTGCCATTAAACTAGAATACTATTCAGCAGAAATCTAAACAGAAACATTTAAGACTATTGAAAAGCTGGGAAGATGAACATTCTAAGTGACATTTTTGTAAACTTTTGAGTAAATTAGCTTTGAACATACGACAACAATGGGAAATAAAGATTAGGCATTGCTTTATTTCTTGTCAATCCTCAAAACTCATACTCCCCAAAAGAGCCTGTCTAAGGCTACTCATTGGCTGTTAGCAGCCAAAAGCACTAGGAACATTCTTCAACTAACAAAGCACTCTAAAAGATAAATTAATACCCTTATCCACCGAGATCTGTGAAAATTTTAAACTTAGTAAAATAAAGTATAATGAACAGTTAAAATAGGTCTAAAATCAGATGTTTCTCTGAGAAATCTCAATTTTTTTCAAAGTCACTTGAAACATTCTTCCACAAAGCTTTCCAATTATAAAGTAATTTTTTTTATAAACATACATTTCACACAATATGTAGAAATAAAAAAAGACCACAGGTGAAATAGCTGTAAAATTCAAAGCTTAATCGTCATAACAGACAAATATAGTTTAATTTTTTACACTTGAGAGCATAGTAAAAAATTATTATTCATAATAAAGTAAAAAGAAAAAAAAATTATTGTAAGCAAAAATAATTTTAAACTTGCAATAGTAACTGGCTAACAAAAGCATGTAAATATAGGCAATTATAAATACAACTTTATCTCATTAAAACTCACTTTACAAAGAGTTATACATATCACATTAGTGGAAACAAATAAAATGTAAGTATTAGCACATTGTTTTTTCTTTAAATAAATACTTTTCTACTTCTTGAACTATTTTTAAACACAAACAAATCGAAGACTTTTTAGATAAAACTATAACATAAAATTTCTTAAGAATTTCTTAGATAAAATTTCTTACATAAAATAATAACAAAATAAGAATAATGGCACAATAAATGCATGAATTTAAACTATATTTACAAAAAATAATAAACAAAAACATCAATTTGAACCTAAAATATAAATTCCATAGAATTGGAATGTAGCCTAAAAATAAACTTCTGCCAAAAAGTAAATTAACACAGCATATAAACTTTGAAACAGCTTCAGCTTTTCAATTTCACAGTGCACATGAACATATATTATTACATAAAGGTAAAGTATAGGTTCCCAACCTTTTTGGGCATGCCACCCACTTTGCAAAACAAACTTTATTTTTTCCAACTTTTCCTTATGAAAAATTAATTTTTGAATATTTATTGAACAATGAAAGTAAACTTTTTAAATTCTTTATATTCAATATAGCACACTTTTCATACCGTTAATTTATCAAATTCCTACTGACAAATAATTTTCTTTCTTAACTTTTTTAGTACATTTTTATGAATGTACTAAAAAAGTTATACCCAACTAGAATAGGAATTTACTTTTTTTACACTTTTCCATTTACTTTTATCTAGTTGCTCTAAGATAAAAGATAATTATTTGCAGCAAGCTTTTAAGTAGAGCATAAAATAACTCTGTAACAAAATATTTAAAACTACAAACCTATTGTAATGTTTCATTCTGATGGATAAAAAAAAATATACATAGATAAAATAATTCGTTAAAAATTCGTTAAGCTTGAATAAATGAAAAGTGATTTTTATAAGCTAAGAGTTCCTTTCCCTACAAAATTGATTAATAATATTTTTCTCCGTAAAATTGCTGAATTAATAACAGCTTTAATAATATGTAATTTATGCAAAGCTAAATATTTTGCAAAAGTATTGGTTTTTCGATACAAGAGAGAATAATAATATGTGTACTCGAAATTGCGAGTTTTTACGAATCATCTAGAAAGCCCCCTTAGAAATCTTCAACGCTCATGTTGGGAACCTACGAGGTATGTATATTGAAAAACAAAACAAAATAAGGAAAGTAGCGTATCATTTCCATTTACTTTTTGTTCATTCAACTTTCATGCTTGCAATTGTCACTACTAGTGCCAAAAAAAGGGAGCTGATGAAGAGGCTACATGAGGTTCTTCGATTTCAGATGAATACTCTGTGACCTTTTCACGGACTCAGTACTTGAAGCCCTGAAATTATACAAAAAAATAAATTTTCGTAACTGTTAGTGTTGGGAGAGTCACATCAACAATGTCAACCTTCATCTATGAAAAGGTACCCCAACATAAAATCGAGTTAACATGCCTTATAAACTAGTGAACTGGAACTGTATTTTTGTAGTGGTAGATACACTACAGTACTCCCCCACCAGAATTTTATCTGCGTCAGAATTCGATGAACGGGATACCACTAGTTGATTCATTGCTGTTTTGTGAGAAGATGGGAGAGCTGTATTAAGATCACCGCACTTTTGAGTGCTGATCGTGAGCTGTATTAAGTGCACAGTTGTGGTCACCCTTGTGTTGCAATAGCAGTCGAGTGTACACAGGCCGACGTTGTGTGTGATAGAGACTGAGTAGCAACAGCGCGAGGAGGTGGATAATGTTGCTGTAATAAGTAGCAAGACAACTGTTCAATAAGTGTTCAAATCGAAGTTGGAATTTCTGTCCACGTAGGCGTGTTCACATCACGTCCGGGCCACCAATGTGGGGAGATTCACATCGACAATGTCAACCTTCATCTATGAAAAGGTACCCCAACATAGAATCGAGTTATACTAGTGAATTGGAATTGTATTTTTGTGGTGGTAGATACACTAAAGTTAGCAATCAAACTTTTTGAAAAATGTTAAGAACTACTAACATAGTGATAACATTTGATGTTTAGTACAGTACAAACTTAATTATCTGAAATATGCAGGAATCATCAAATAAGCTTCCGGATACTTGAGCTCTAAAAATTTAGGTTTTTTACAAGACCTTATTTTCAGAAAAAGGTTCATGTCTTAATAATAAACAAAACAAAAATAATTGAATCGATACTTTTAAAAAATAGTGATAAAAGTTAGTTGCCAATAAAAACTATTCCTTATAGAACGATAATAATATGCTAAATGAAAAAGATGCAAAAAAAAAAAAACAATTTTTAATTATAACAATAACCCTTATTTAACTATCATCTGTTTTAGTATTCAATGGCGAATATTCTGGTACTTCATATTACTGCATTTCTTTGAAAAATGTCGTCACGACAAAACTCAGATACCAGTTCTTCATGTATAAGAAATAATGAAGACAAAAGAAAATAAACTATAACTTTACAAAGCATAAATGAGACTAACAGCTATAAAAAAAATGAAACTGGAAAGTAGAAACCAAAATCAAAACAGATGAAAAAAATCTTAATGCTATCTAAATTCCAGTAACTTGAACATTTCAGTTTACTTTAATTCAATACAGTGGAGATGTTATTGTATTTTAAAATTAGTAGTTCTCCTGATTTTGGAATAGAAAAGTAACACAGTTAATTATTTAAATTTTTTTAACAAGCATTGTACTATTCAATTCCAAAGAATTTTTTCCCCATGATTCTTTGAGATTATCCGTTTTTTTTTTCTTCGTTGACTTGCGATAACTGATTTTTAAGGTATAAGTTAATATAATCCAGTTAATGTTTTCTCCTTGAAAATTGAAATTTAAGTAAAGAAAGAAATTATCTAAAATAATATATATCACAAATTTCTAGCAAGTACCTTACATTATTCAAATATGCCAAGAACAAAATTCCCTGTATATTTATGATTAGAAAAATTTCTTCAAGAAAAACATTATGCTTGCCACTTAATCCCCAAAATATAGGTCAAATAGAAAGCAAATTTAGACATTGTTACAAAATAAAGCATTTTAACTGATATTCAATCAATAGCTAATACATTTTTTTAAAAATATAATATTTATTAATGTTTAAACTTTATTGAGTAAGTATTATTCTACAGATAAAAAATAATCTTGAAATCAAAATATTTTATAATTTCTTACAAATTTGTGAAAATTTGACGACTATTTTCCAGAAAAACTTTTTGAGAAAAAAACAGAAAGAAATGATTCTTTGGGTTGTTGTAACTAATATCAAACACTAACAGAAAAAAATAGAGACTTACTAAGGAAGCGTCTTTGTTTAAGTTGTAAGGTATGCAACTAATTTATTAGGAAACAATTTAGAGATTTATTTTCTTATTCAGTTGAAATTCAAATATAAGAGGGAAAAAAACATTATTAAGATTTTTGATAATTTCAGTTTTAGAATGATTTTCTAAGTCGCTGAAAATATGAGAATCATTTGATAATATAAGGAAACACAGAACTTTTTTTTTTTAAAAATTACACTGCATTTATAACAAATATTACTGTTAGGTTTGCAAAAAATAATAATAACAAAAATTGAAAGAATATGATAAGAGCAACATTTATATATTCAAATTTGTTAAGTAGAAATGTGTTTGAGAATTTCTCTCCCACTTTTCAAATGTCAAAAAATCATGTATGAAATTTAAACTTTTTGAACAGCAAGAATTGTTTTACTTCATAGTAGCATAAATAATAATCTTTCTACTTGCATTTATAAACAATTACATATTTATTTAAGTAGTGCTAATTAATTTAAGAAACAATACCTTACTTTTTACTGTCAGAAGTACTATTTACGGAAACCTGAGAGCTTGAGGAACTAACACTGCCACTTCCCTTTAAACCTCTAAATAAACAAACCAAAATTAATATTCAAAAAGCAAAAATCTTTACATTTTTCTGAGGCAATAATTGTGACAAAGATATATACTGCATGTATTAGGTCTATATCCAGGTAAATATAACAAAAAACAAAATTTTCTATAATATGCGCACCTTTTTTATAACATACATACATTGTATGATACATAAACTTGAAAGTAAAACTATATTTTGGTAAAAGAAATTTCAGATTTTTTAACAAGATTCGTAACTTTCTTATTTTTTACCATTCTTTCATATAATTTTATTTTCTTGGACTCAAATGCATGCATTATGTCATCATTTTAACTGAGTAGATTATAACATTTAATAATTCAGAATAATATACATAATTTAAAAATATAGTATAAAATATATTAAATATGTATAATTTAAAAATACAGTTGCCAAATTAATGATGAAATATTAAATATTGATTGGAAAAGTGATTTTTACACGATTACACTTATGCAAATAAAATGTGTTTAACAGAAATAAATGTAACAAATTAATAAACTAGAAGAATAGATCAAAGACATTATATTTTTTGTTCAATTTATCAAATAAAAACTAACAATAAAAAATAAATAAGTACTGATTAAAAGAAATCTTTGAAGAAAAATTTTCTTCTTTTAGCAGATTGACCCTTTATTTATATATGTTTTTTTTTAAAAAAAGAAAAGGACTTATTTGATACATAATGGAAAAAATTCTTCTTTCCATAATTAAAAATAGCGGAAAACACAGACAAGGTTATATTTTGTAAAAAGATAGATGAAAAAATAAGGCAACAGTATCATCGAATTCAAATCTAAGTTTATAACAGGATGATTTAAAACTGGCATTCAACTAAAGAGCTAAAAGATAATGATTTTAAAAAATTTAAACTCATTGGCTGTTCGGGTGAAGAATTTTGCAAAAAAATATTTATTATTCAACTTAAGACCTCTAGCAATGATAAAGATTTGATATATAAAAACTTTGATTGCAGTACATAAATTTAAATGCAGTTTTTTTAAGAGCACCAATGCAATTTTTATATAGGCAGAAAATTCCATGTATTTTGTTCTTTATCAACAACAGACCAGTGCACTATCATAACATATAGCTAACAATAGTATTTTAACAAAATAATCAGGTTTTATTATTCATCAAATGATGTAAATTATTTTGGAGGGAAAAGTTGTTTGAAAAACTTTACTTAGCAAAAAAAAAAAAAAAAAAACTAAGCTTTTTTTTAAAATTTAAATTTTGGGTCCACTTTGGCAAACTCTGTCCAAAATCACCACAAATATGACTGATAGGCTATGCCGTACACCACGGTTTTCACTTATTCAATAATTTGGCATAAAATTTTACTGTATAAATTTGTCAAGCAACTCCATAGGAATTAAGAAATTAAATGAAATATTTAAAAATGACAAAAAATGGACATAAATACAAGAATATTTTTTTGAACAGCTACAAAACTTACAAGTATCTAGTTAAATCTTCAATATCTACAAGCATAGAATCTTGTTCCATGTGCAAATCATCACGCTCTAATAAAAACTTCACCAGATCTTCATTTAAAGCTACATTAAAAATTCAAAGCCATTAAATAAATATCAATTTTACGAATGCATGTTAAATACTAAGCAACAGCATTAACATAGATTAATTTTTCACTAGCTTTGAAAAAATCTCATTAGGAAAGATAGTCATTTAGAACTAAAAAATTCAAAGACATTAAAAAAATACCCAGTTTAGTGATGTATGTTAAGTTTTAAATAAAAGCATCAACATGTACTATTTTTTCCTTAGTTTAAAAAAAATCTGAAAAGGAAAAAAAAAATGAACTATGTTTACTTAGCTTAAATTGTCAAAAGAATATACAAAAAATGCAAATAAAGTTGACTTAAAAATCAAATTTCTAATTTAACACTAGAAAGAAACACCTTACTTCTAGAAAGACATATATGAATTTAGAGTTCATAAACAATAGGACATACTGGTCTTTTTCAAAATATATGGTTTTCCAAAAAGAAAAAGAAAAACCAATGTGAAAAATAGTACATAGATACTTAAGTGACTAAATGTTTCGTTATTAACAAAAATTGATTGTTTAATCAAAAAGAAATTACATGAATATAGAAAGAAATTACATTACATGAATATTAAAGAAATTACATACTCATTTAAAAGAAATGACATGAAGACAGATGATTTTGGAAAGATATACTGATTAAAGTGAAAATATTGTTAGACAAAACAAAACAAAAATAACTCATTCGATTATCAAACTGTAAGAAACATTTTACATTGAGTTGACCGTAATACCAAAATTTTTTCTTAAATTCATCAACGAGAACATATTCATATATTTATTTATTATAGATAAAAACAAATTAATATTCAGAACTTTAGTTTTAAAAACCATTTTAAATTAAGCAGTTTAAAAATACATCTTTATGTTGGCTGTAGTTAATTACAATATAAAATGCAGTTTAACTATAATTAGTTTCAGCTTTTTACCCCTTTAATTAAATGCAATCTGACAGAAACTTTTCCTGTTTTTAATTCTTTTCTGCTCAAAACCTTTAAAAATTGCATATTTTTTATTATTTAACTAACTAACTCCCTGGCATTACAGTCCATGTTGGACCATGGTCTCACTAACAATTTTCCTCCAAAGTCGCCTGTCTCTAGCTCTTTGTTTTCAGTTTCGGACTTTTAGAGTCTTAAGGTTCTTTTCCACCTCATCAAACCATCTCTTTTTATTATTTAACTAGACTGTAAAAAAGATCATCATAAGAAAGATGTTCACAAAGTTCGTTTGAATTAGTTGGTTTGCAATAATTTTCAGTTTAACTAAAAATTAGTCTGAATAACTTACTTGAGATAATTTGTAATAAATCAGAAAAAGTTTTCACTCAATCTTTTTAACTTAAAAGCATGCATATTTACCAAACTTTAGAAATGTAATTAGATTATTGAGGAAAAAAAACTAATTTAAGATTTCTTTATCTTTATCAGATTTAGTACAGACATTCGGGTCACTATTTTGAAAATCTTGATTCAGTTTTTTAAAACATGGAAGCAGTGTAACAAACAAAATTTCCCAAAGGAATAAATTTATCTTGTTATTATCTGTTATTACTTCAAAAGAAAAAAAAAACTATAACATTTGTTTAAAAAAATTATAATACAATTCAAAACAGAATATGCCCTTAAAAATAATCATTTATAGCTGAGTAAATTTAAAGTATTTCATACAAGAGGAAAAACACATTAAATATATTATAAGTATATTAAATTTTATTATTGTTCAAAAATTGATATCTACTTACTTTCAATTTGAGAATGCAAATCATTTACAATAACTTGAAGCTGAGCTACATTCATAGCAAGTAATGCATGATGGCTTAAAAGATTCTTCCCATCAGGAAAAGGTAAGCCAACCTAAAATAATTTCAAGAAAATATGACTCACATACATCATATTTGGATACATAATTAACAAGTTTTAACATTTTTAGAATTTTTCTTGGATTTGTCAACACTAATACTGGTAAATCATTGTATCATTTTTAACTACAAAAAATTACAATATATTTTACAACTATTAGGTGACATCAATACATTATACATCTAACGATAATTAAATCTTTAATTCAGGAAAGATAACTTCTGTAAATTCTAGATTTAAGGGAGAAAAAAAAAGAGCCTAACGACTAATAAACACAATTGCAATGTATTTAACAAGATCTAACATATAGAAAAAATTAAAACACGAGTTTAATAAATTAGAATTGAAAAACACTACTGCATATTATAAGAAAGCCATTATATTCATCAGACAGTGGAAGAATATGGCAGATCAGTTTAAGGAATAAAACATTGAAAACATACACTTAAATCTAATACAGGTATGTATATGTTAATTAACACTTTATTTTTTATAGGTAAAAAAAATATATACTAGAAATCTCTTTTCAATATATGGGAAGTAAAATATTTTAGTTGAAAGTTGACAAAGAATATTATATAATTAATAGGCAAAATAATTGAGAAACATAATAAACTGCACAGTTTTCAATAAAACACGCTACTGCACAAGTATATAACATGATATATTAATGTTTTAGTTCAAAAAAAACCTACATGAATTCTGATTATGATTTTATGTAACACTCTATTGTATTGACTTATTTATTTTAAAACTTATATACATTTTTCTGATTTATTACATTTCCAATTTATTCAATACAATATTAATCTATAAATGTTCTGTAAAGTAAAAAATAAAATTAAAAAAAAATCAAATTATACAAAATTAATTAAGGAAATGCAAGGTTTTTTCTAAAAATGCAACAATTTCTAAATTTTTATAGTTAACAGAATTAGTGATTAAACATGATTAAAAAATAAGAAAAATAAGCTTAAAGAACATGAATTGTTTCAAAGAAATAATTATAATAACCTTCCAACTAACTATAAATAAAATTATGAAAGTTCTAGATTCTTCTGTTAATTAGTTGCAAATAATCACAAACTGTATATAAATAGTTTTAGATATTTCCTTAAAATCAGAAAATATGCAGTAATCTAATTTACACATTTTAAATGGTGAAATACCTAATTAAACTATAAAAGTGAATGCATAAAAAGAAGTTTCAATGTACCATTCCAAAATTTATGAACTTCTTTCAGGTGTATATATTAATGTTTATAAATAATAACTCATTATATTAAAATATAAATAAATATGTTTGAAAAATGAATTTATAAAAACTTTTATTTTTCAGTATGGATATTTATGCACAAGAATTATTAAAAAAATAATTTGGCAATTAAAAATATAGTTATTCCCTAAAGATTATTGTAATATCAAATTTATATTTAGTGGTTGAAGAGATAAATGTATTTATTTATTATACATTAGTTTGCAATAGCATTTATAAAATTAAAAGATTTTCTAATAATTTTATTTTTAGGCCTCTTTGTAAAAATTGTTGAATGCAAAGTACAGTTTGGCCAAAGCTTTGGTTGATGTACATATTAAACTTTAGTAATAAATGAACAATGAATGTATATAATACATTGTACTCCATGTGTTTAGATATTCCTAATCTCATATGACATTTTTGTTCAGCTTATTAAGTATTTCCTAAATTAATATCACCAATTAAGATATGAGTTTTTGCTTTTTGCACCAGTAGTATGAAAAAGCCGATATTTAAAAACATTTTTTAACATAAGTAAAAAGAAGCATTATTTAAAATATCAAAAGCTTGTTCTGTAATTAAATTGATGTTTACAATAATCAACTGATATTATTAAATATTAAGTCACAGAAAAATCTAATTCAATTTCAGCTAGTATTATAGTCAATATCTAGACATTCATAATGTACAATTTCTGAATTTAGAGTGAAATTATAAGAGTTATATGCAAACATTCTTTTTATTTTTATTTTACTAGCCTATCATTTAGTATTCATATTCAATAAGTCATTTAGTATGTTTTATTTTTGAACTATTGAATGGCTTTGGTTTCAAGAATTAAATGCAATAGACTCTTTTTGACTATTGACTATGTTTGATTATTTGACTATTTTTTATTATAAGAAACAATTGTGCATACTTTAAAAGACAATATTTTATATAATAACATTTTTAAAAAGAATATTCGCAACACAAATTTTTATAGACTGAATTACAGCTCCATCTCCAGTTAAACATTAAAACTTAAAACATAATGTAATACAATAAAATTATCTTACAATATCAGCAATAGGGCTCTTTTTCTTTTTCTGTCTTTCAATTTCCATTTGCATCCTTGCCATATCTTTTGCTTGTGCCAAAGCTTCACGAGCTTCAGCTTGAAGACGAACATGTCTAGTGAGTAGATCTTCTTCGGGAAAAGGTTTTTGATCTTGTTTCGATACATGCCAACTACGTGGTCTATTGAAGAAAAATTTAGGCCTTTGTCTCTTTGTTACTGATACTGGTGAAGCATTGTTTTGTAATTTAGCAACATTCTGAAAAATAGAAATAAGAAAAATTTAAGCTGTAAGAATGAAGACGAAAATTACCTCTAATTTGAATTGGAATATGTATGTTTACTTTCTTGAAATGGGAGGGGAAAAAAAAGAAGAAATGCTTAAAAAATTGAAAGTATCTTTTGATTAAATCATAAAGTTTTTTTTTTTTTTAAGATCTTTGATTTAAATTAACAGATAATTTTTAAAAATTAATGATTTAAGCCAAAAATACTTTTTATTAAGGATAACTAATAAATATATTTTAAGGTTTTGATTCTTTTAAAGTCTGACTTCAGTGACCTTGAAGATTTCATCCAGAGAAATAATTAGAAGTTAATGTATGTAAACTGTTATTCAAAGTTCAAAATAAAGTTTAAAAAAGAAGAAGAAGAAAAGATAAAATGTGGATTAAAGTGGAGTGAAACTTTTAAATAATGACTTTAATTTAGTTGCTAGTAAAATAATTTGATGTTCATAAAATAAATTTCAACAATATCAATTTACATATATGTTCATTTGAATACAAATACTTTTATTAATTGCATTAGTCATAATTTAATAGTATTTAAATAGTATTAGGCATAATTACATTTTATTAAAGCTTTGATAAATATATAAAAAATAATGAGTTTTCCCATCCATAGAAAATTATAACAATAAACTATTTTGTAACAGTTAATAGAAATAAAATATATATATATAAATTACCACATCTTTTTTAGGAGATGAAGTAGAAGGCAATGGCAAAACAGGATTTTGAGCTTTTGGCACTAGCACCGGAGTAATTTTTTCTGGGGCACTTTCGTCATCAGGATAGGATAAATCCTGGTCTTTAGCTGCTTCATTCATAAAACAAATTTGTAAATTTCCACTATTTTGTAGTCTATCAAATGAACCGCCACTTTTACGATGCTGGCTGAGTTTTTCCGATATGTATTCTTCTGTGTCTGAACCCATGGCAAGTTTCCTTCGAATTTCTTCCCTGTCATTTCTCCTCTGAAAATAAATAATAAATTTGTAGTTTTCATTCAATAAAAAAATTTAACAAAAATAAATAAATGATAAATTGATATAATAAAGTGTACAGAAAACAATTATACATTTCTAATATCTAGATCAAATCTAATGCAAAATCACAATTGAAGAAAATCATTTTGCAGTAAAAAAAAGCTAAAGTTTCTAATCAATTAACTTTCTAGCTCTACAATTCTACATAAAAGATAAATAGATATATATTACACACTATTAGCTCTACAATATTATATAATATATACACAGTAGAGGGCCGATTATTCGAATTGCTCGGGACCGAACGTGGTTCGGATAATTGGAAAGTTGCTTAAAATCTAGTTTAAATGATTATTATTTATCCACTAACTTCCCTTCACACTTTTTCCAGGCTTAGGACTGGCAGTACTATCTAAAATAGCTCTGTTCAAAAGTTTTTTTTCTTTCAATTTTTGAATATTTTTTTTTTCTACTTTTTTTCATTTTGAATTTTTTTAATCATATTTCAGTTTTTTGTAATTTTTTTTTCAATTACTGTTTCTAACACATTTTTCTTTATTTTCCATTGCAAAAGAAATCCAGCAAAGATTTTTGTTTCAAAGAAGATGCTCTTTTTTGAGCAGCCATATCCCTTATTCTTTTTAAATAAATCAACTGAACTGCATCAACATCATTTTGACGTTCTAGCCAATTCATTGCAATATTTAATGAATTGCATGCTTCTATATGGGAAGGTCCATTATCTTGAACTTGGTCACCTACTCCTTCCTCTTCGTCTGTGGAGTTCCGATTTTCGTTCAAAGTGTCTTCATCATTAGTCAATCCTGAGAAGTTTTCAGTGTAACTCCACACCAGTCTTCTATTTCTTCTGCTGCATAGCGTGGCATCTTTTCATCCGGAAGGATCAGAAATTTAGAAAATTTTTTGATAAGTTAAAAATATTCTAAACTTCAAAAAAAAAAAAAATTCAGACATAGTTCGGATAATTGGCGCTCTACTGAATAACGATAAATCATGATTAACAAGTATGCAAATTGAGTATAAATCTGTTTAAAAGATTCTAGATAAATTAAGGTAATTTTTGTAAGAAAAGTAATCACACTTAGTTTATATCATTTCTAATAAACAATTCTAATGTTTAACTAAACATGTGAATCGGAAAATAAGATTACAATTATTCTAAAAAAATTTAAGAGAGAATAAATGTATATAAGTATGCATAACAATATTAACTTTATTTTAAATGAAATTCTGGATACACCTCCGAGATCTGATGCTTATACACACATCAGATTTTCTTTGACATGTTTTTTCCTCCCAATATCATTTGCAAATTTTATTTTTTCAGTGATTTTGAAACACAAACTGATTACCATCTTTGCAGTCTTGTGAAGACATGAAAGATAATTATTGAAAACATTTTCTTAAATATGTTAGAACAATTCAATCTAAAATGAAACTCTAGAGTGTAAATACTTTACAGTCATTTATATGATATAAATTTCATTTCTTTTGATTGAATATTTCTCCAATTAGAACTATTTTTAAAGAATGGCATTATAAAAATATTCTTTATACCTAACATTTAGAATTCTATGTTGTGAAAAAAAATGTCCTTAAAACTCAAATAGTAGCCAGGTGCAAAACTTATCTTATTTATTTTAAATGCTATTGTAAATTAAAGTTGGAAAGATAATTCTCATTCACTGAATAAAGTTATTTAAAATTAGCATATATATTACACAAATTCAATATTGTTAAATATTAGAATAGATTTTAGAACTATCCAAATTCAAATAGGAGAGGAATATTTAGGCAACAGAGAGAGAATTTATTGATATTAAATTCATAAATCATCCAGAAAATAAAATTTCCTTTACAATCATAATGATAAATGTTTGGTTGGTATTTTATTAACTAGTATACACTGAAACCTGAGTAAGTTAAACACATATTTGACAATAATTTGATGGTTCTCTCACACAAATGGTCAACATATAAAAGAAAAAAAATATTGATTTTGCTTATTGATCATCAAGATCAACTTATTCACTAACAGATGTAGTCAACATAAAAGGTTTCCCTGTACTACCGGTTACAAAAATAACATATAACTGTTTTTATGTTATTAACATATTTAAACGTCATGAACTTTTGACATTAAACAGACCTCATCATCTCCAGAACTACATGTGAAATTATCCTCTTCAATAGTCAATATACCAAATTCTTTTTCATAATCTAAGGGATCAATTTCTATGTCATCCGTGTATGAATAATTATCCTCTTTAAGAAAACTCAATGATTCAAATTCGGGCTTGTTTTTGACTGAATGCGATTTATCTAAATTATCATTACGGAGTGTAGAAATAAAATCTCTTCCGGCATTGCTAAATTTATGAATGGCACCGCCAAATTTATTTTTCCACGCATTCATATCTATTAAATAACAGTGATATCATTGATTAAGAGGAGTTTAATATTCCATCTTTTAAACAATCACGCGTAATATTATATTAAGTAATGGTATGTGATACAACTTCCCACACTAATTTTCGGATAGAGTAGACAGAAAACACCTGATTTCCCAAAGTTGAACAACCACTGCTGTTTACATACGAAAAAAAAAACACAAATTTAGACCACTCAGGTGATGTGCACAAACGATCCATATATATTTTTAAAGTTTTATTTCCGCTGCTTGAGATTCACGCATCTTTGATCGGCGTCAGAAAACTAACGCCGGATTCTCTTTTTCTCTTATAGTGATCAACGTTGGATGAATCACATGGCTATAAATCTGTTTTTTTTATTAATTATTGAATTAATTTAAAATGAGTAGCAATAGTACTTTATTTACGTCGCATTGGATCTACCCAATGGGCTATTGGCGACGCTGTGGGATAAATCTTTGAGGATGATTGCCAAGACATGCCATCACAATTTTGATCCTCAACAGAGCGGGTGACTTCCTCGCTTTGGTATCTTGACGACCTGGGAGCGAAATCGTTTGTTTACGGTAGAACAGTTTAACGAAGACAGCTACCGCGTGCCCTCGGTCCCTTTATCACCTGTTCAAAGTGGTCACTCCCCCGCACACTGACTGCAACCAGTGATGCTTGGTTACGGTGTTCTACAGGAAATCGTGTCTTAAGATCAGTAATTTGATATTCGAGAACAGAAATTTTAAGAAAGAAAGAAAAAGAAAAGAAGCCTACGGTTGTACTGGAGCAAAACGCAATCACAGTAAAAAATTATCATTCAGGACCAAATTAGGCAATCCTTTAGCCATAAAAACATTAACGCTGCTGAAAGAGTCATTCTGCAATTATTTCGTGCGAGAACGAGAACGTTGACTTTTTTTTTTCTCCAGTTGAATATTTTCAAACAATCCGGTTCTCGTTCGCCTGCTAGAAAATCGTAACCAGTTAAATGGTTCTTTAGCATTAGTATGCGGATACTTACAAGGTTTGAATTAAATTATTCCATGAAACTGAAGAAGAAAGATACACTTGATAATTGAAAAACTTCATTAGTCGTGATACTAATAAGGTGAAAAAGCTGACACGTTTCGAGTGCTCAAAGCAGAAACGTCCATTTTGGAGATCTAATAGACATAAAAGAGCAAAACAAAACTTATTTGAAAAAAAAATGAAGCTTGCTAACGAAAAAATGAAAAAAAAGTGAAAAACAAAACAAGAAAACCACGGTAGCCAAAGGAAAGCGGCAATGACCAAGAAAAAAGCTAATCAAATCAGGACAGAATGCATTTCCAAGAGATATGAAGGATCGGTATGAAACTCATATCATCCGTTATTCTCTTAATCTAAATTTAAAGCACGCCTGTTTTGCTAGATGTAACCAAGATCCCAATGGCGAAGTATATCGTAATAGTAAATGGCCCAGCGATTATCAATAGTGATTCGATCTTTAAGAGACTTAAATTTAATTTTTTTCACAGGCCCAAAAATGACTTTTAAACCAAATTTTCATAGGACATTGACAACTCTGAAGCAAATTGATGAGAAAAACGGTATATTAACAACTTTACTATAAGGTTTTGGAGAAGGAGACATCGGTGCCTTGTATATGTTTGGTAAGAAGCTGAAAAATAAATAATCAATTAAAGGGTTATATCCACAGTTTATGCGATGACAAGTAAGCGGAGGAAGTTAAGCGCAGAATTTAAAGCGGAAAATTCAGAGAAAAGGATTAGAGCAAAAGTGCGCGGAAAACGAAAGTGTGGAATTTAGAAATTTCTTGGCATTTAAGGTGATTAGAATTAAAATGAGGAGGTAAAAAAAAAAAAAACGGTAAAATGTTTACAATAGCAGAAGTGGAAAAATTATCAATTGATCTGTTACTACAGTGTTTCCCAAACTTATGAATTTTGTGTACCCTTTCCAAATGTTTCGCACCGCCATGTACCACAAACAAAAAAAAAAAAAAATTAATGCATTTTTTTACTGTAAAAAAAATTTAAAAAAAGTTAAAAATCCGAATTGACTGTTGGCACCACTAATTAACTGTGTCCCGCAGTGGAGTGATCATTAAGACACGGATATTCCCAGCAGATCACCGAAGTCAAGCATCACTGGCTGCGGTCAGTGTGCGGGTGGGTGGCCCACTTGGATCAGGGATCAGTCTGCGTGGGGACCGAGGGTGTGCGGTATTGGTCCTCGTTAAACTGTGCTACCGTAAAGTGCTCGACTTCGTGCGCAGGTCGTTGGGCTACCGAAGCGGGGGTGCCATCCCCTCCGCAGAGGATCAAAATTGTGATG